AGTATCATACAATCGTCACCCGAATCTGCTTTTTTCCATGAATGGTACACAATACTCCTAGTAGCTGGGTAGGACTTCAAAGTATCCTCAAATTTAATAGATTTCTGCTTGAGCCGCACTCTTTCATCCATTTTAAGGACAATTGGGCTATGATCTGAAGCCACTCTAGCTAGGTGTCTAACAATAGCTAAAGGAATTTTCTGAAGAGCAACCGAATTTAATAAACACCTATCAAGCCTTTCCCAGATTCGAGAAGCACCTTCCTTATTGTTGCACCAAGTGAACCTTGGTCCAATGCTTCTTATATCAAGAAAATCTGAATTTACCATAAAGCATTTCATATCCTTAGGTCCCTTAGAGAGAATGAACCTCTTGCCCCCTCTCTTCTCCTCCCTGTCTACTATACAGTTGAAGTCACCACCAATAATGGACGGAACAGAATCCTCCATACTTTCATCAAGCTGTCTCCACAAATTTTCCCTCTCTTTGCAGCATCTGCTACCATATACAGTAACAACCTTCCACAACCCCAAATTAGGGATGGATAAATCTCCAACAATCATTTGAGAGGAAGACTTCTTCACCACAAAAGACACCTCCTTACTCTTCCACAGAACCAATATCCCTCTTGAAAGTCCCATCGCCGGGTAATGAAAAAACTCCCAATCCTTACCGATAAGACAATCAACATCTCTTCTATCGATGTTGGACAACTTAGTCTCTATTAATCCAATAAAAAAAACATCCTGATCTCTGGTAATCTCCTTCAGATACAAGGAGGCTTCTTTTTTTCTAGCCCCCTGCAATTCCAGAATAGTATGGAAGACATTAAAACACTGCAGGGGATTCATCCCCAATTACGGAAGTCATTCTTCCACCCTTCTTTTTCTTCTTATAATCAGGTTCTAACGACCCCATCAATTCCGTTTCTTTAGTTATCTTATCTTTTCCAACACCATTATGACTGATTACGTCATTATTCATGATACCTGAAACAATCCCTTTCTCATTCGAATCCTTCAATTGCTCAATTCCCTCAGGTTTTCCTACAGGGCATTCTTCGTCTTCCTCAATCAGAACTGCATATCTATTGGTTAGTGAAATTTCTGGAACTGAAATTTTATCAGTTTCTCCTCTGCCTGACAAGCTTCCTTCATCTTCACTTGACCACTTCTCTGCAACAGCCACATTCTCTTTTTCTATACAGATCATCTTCTGCCCATTATTTTTTTGGTTAAGATTTCCCATGCTTTCCACCTTGCTTCCAACGTATCCGCTACCTTTTTTTTTCTACAGCTCCTCCTTTATTAAAGCGTCTGTTCTTGAAAAGAACATGTATCCAAGGGCCATACTCAGAGTTCTTTATAGAAGGCTTAATTATCGGATCAACCTTCTTTCCTTCATCTGTAACAGCATCATCTTTCCTTATCGATTGATCTTTAATACCCTGTTTAACATCATCAGGACATTCCTTTCTATCATGTCCCACACGACCACATTGATAACAAAGCAAGTCAATTTTTTCATATTCTACCCGTTGAAAGAATCTCCCAGCTGTTCCATCTACCCAAACTCCATTCAGAAGTTTTTTATCCAATTCAATCTTAACACAAACACGGGCAAATTCTCGTTTTCCCCACCTAAAAGTATTGCCATCAATAAACAATGGTGTTCCAAAACAAGATGCAATTCTCGCTATATTCTCCTCATCCCAACAATAAAGAGGTAAGCAAGGAAATCGGATCCAAACCGGAGCAGAAATTCCTTTAAAAGAATTGGGATCAAAAGCGGGTGACCACCTATCCATGCCGACTATAGAACCATTCACATACCACGGTCCTCCATTAAGGATCTCTTCTACAGCCTTTTCCAACTGAAACGAGCAAAGAATCCAATTCATACCAATTGACGTCATGTGAAAACTGCCAAACTTGCTCCATTGCCTCCTTAATTCTATGCTGCAAATCGAGAAGGGCACATTAATACCCAAGACTTTAATAACTAACGAATTCTTAAGAACTTGTGAATTCTTGGCTTCCAAGACAGGATTAAGTTTAACCGCAACCCCATCCTTAGACATTTCAACTTGATCCTTGTTAAAAGTAATCTTGATGTTCTTCGGCTTCGTCCATGCCTCAACAACCTCTCCAAAACCTTTCTGAATTCCTTTGACATCTTCATTAGTCATCAAGACTCCTTCAGCTACCAGATCCTTCCCCGAAGCCTTCATATAATCACTGTTCTCAACCCTTAACAGAGCTTCCGCCGATCTTGAACAATTCGCATTATGACGGTCGCAATTCGGCTCAAGAACCTCCGCATAGCTCGTTACAACCGACGAAGAAGCCTCAAAAACAACCAAACCTGCATCCTTCTTAGAATCCGCTACTTTCTTGACTTCTGAAACTTACATCAACGTCTTTTTCCCCTTGCCTTCCATCAAAGATTTACGACACGGAGGTCGCGTCCCTTCTTTGATAACAATGCCGCTCGCAATCCTTCCATATGTTCGTAACGGTACAGGAGGTCGCAATCTATTCATGAAATCGACGAAGAAGCGCCGATGAACATCCGGCGACACCTCCTCCTCCCGCGGAAATCCGCAAAAAAACCGAGATTCGAAAACCAAAGAACTTTCTCTCTCTAAAAACCCAGAACTTCTCTCTAGCTGATGGCTATCAGTCACTCAACTGGTATTTCTATTTTGTTGCAAAACATCCATTCAATATATCAGTTAAATGAAGAGCTATCTAAAAAAAAATCACTAACGATTTTCAGGTTCTTAAATGGAAGAACAAAAGTAGGTTATTTATAAGGCGCATAAAGATAAAAAAACTTGCTAGGAACACTTGAAAAAAACATCTATAACAAGTACTTGTACTCCAATATTCTCTGATATTGCCTCCTCTTCTCATGCCTTCGAAGTCTTAGAAATGTCCATTTTCAGCTCTTGGATCATCGATTTAGGAGCTACAAATTATATGATCAACTCTCATTGATTTATTTCATATACCCATTATCCTAACAACAATAAAATAACCATGGATGATATATCCTTGGCCACCGTAATCGACCAATGAGATACTCTTATTAAAAAAAGTCCTAACACTCCAAAATGTCCTTCTTGTACCTAAATTAATTACCAACCTATTGTCCATTTAAATGTTGGGCATGAAAGAACGATTGAGCTTGCTAAAGAGAGGGATTGTCTCTATGACAATGAGGACTCCCGTGATCAATAAAACTCCATATAATTACCCTATTTTAATATCTCAAATATATTTATTCCCAAAATATTTTGAAGCATTATCTTTGGTCTCACACATTCACAATACAAGTAAAATTCAATCTATGAGCAATTAAATATGTTTTCATTAGCTATTTACCTGCACAAAGAAGGAATGGATACTATCGACTCCCCACAACAAAGTGTATTTGTCTGCTAATGTCACGTTCAATTAAAAAAATCATCCCTTGCTACGTACCTTAAGTAATCATTTACAAATGAGTTTGTTCTCTTAGATTACCGCTCCTACTTTTCATCTTAGCAAATAAATCTATCACAAAACTAGTTACTCCTACCCAAATCAAACCTATATCAGAATCATTTTTTTACTTAGTCATTACATGTTTCCTTAAGAAGAAAGGCATCTTAATTTATTCAAATCTATTAACTGAAATAATCCTTGTTTTTGAATCCACTAAGAAAATCATTAAGCCTACGAGAAATTCCTGTGAACATCCCTTATATTTAATTGTATCATACAAAAATCTTCCTCACAATCACTTTTACTAGCCTATGTACTGTTTGTTTCCATTAAAAAATCTTTGATGCTTTAAATAATGTGAAATTGAATAATGCTATGAGGGAAGAAATGGAAGCCGAGTAAAAAACCAAAACATAAGAATTGATAACTTTACAAAAACAGAATGAACTTGTTGGATATAGATGAAATTTTGGTGTAAAATACAAATCTAATGGTTCACTAGAAATATATAAAGTTAGATTAGCGGCCAAAGGTTAGACACAAATATATGGGGGTTGCTTATCTTGAAACATTCACTCCAGTTGCTAAAATGAATGTTGTTGGAGTTCTTTTATCTTTAGCAGTTAATCCAGATTGATAGATGCAACAATTTGATGTGAAGAATATCTTTTTACATGGTGATCTAAAGGAAGACATATATATGGAGGCCTCACCGAAATTTAGTTTATATATATAAGCTGAAAAAGACATTATATGAGTCGAAACATTCTCTAGGGGTATTATTTAGAAGGTTTGTGAAAGTAATACTCAATATGAGATACAAACTAAGTTAAGTAGATTAAAAATTATTTATGAAACATATAGCTGCAAGAGTAGTCTCTACACTAACAATTTATGTTAATATTATTATGTCTAGTAGTGACTTGAATGTAATAGAGAATTTAAACAAATAATTGCTCAAAAAAAAAAAATTGAAGTCAAAGAGGTAAGCTAAAGTACTTTACTGGCTTTGAAATTGCAAACTCTCAGCATGGAGTCTTCACTTCACAGCAAAAAAAACATATAGCATGCTTGTTAAAAGAAGTGGGCAAGTTAGGATGCAAATCTGTTGAGAGTCATATGAAATTTAATCATGAACTTAGAGGTCCTATAGAAGACATAGTAGGAGAAAAAAATCTCTTATCAAGGATCTGTTGGAAGACTTATTTATTTTTGCATGCTATGCCAGATATTGCAAATCTGTTAGTAAGAAAGAAAGTTGCACCACAAACTAGGAGTTAACTACATAGTTTTTTTTCTTTTCATTGCTATCTACTATGTTCTGTGACAGTTCATGCCAATTTTGGAAATTTTAGAATTATATATGACTTCAGATGCTTCAAGTTTATATTTTCATTCAAAATTGTAGTATTTGGTGTATCTTTTAAGTTTTCTGTCTAGGAGTCTACATATTTCATGTTTGTCATATTTGATGAAGCTATTTTGGATCCCCTAATACAAATTTTACTACAGGATGGACCTGCTTATGTTGGGGTGTTCGTAAATATTTTACGTGACATTTCAAAGGAAGAAACAATAGAATATGTGTTTGGCCTCATCGATGAAATGCTTGCAGGTTTTGTTAATATTGGTTCTAAATTGCTATTCGAGTTTTTGAGGTGAAATTTTTAGAAGTCCTCTCTTTTCTTTTTTGCAGCAAATCCTAAACGTGCGAGATTATTTCATGACCGCAGTTTATCAGGCTCAGATACCTATGGCCCATTCTTAAAGTAAGTTCCTATGATTTTATTGAACGAAAGGACTTCATTTGCTTTTATTTGCATGATGAAACGTCATATAATATTTCTTTTTGAAATTATGCTAACATGGAGGCTGTATCCTCCTTTTAGTCAACCTGAAGAACACTAAAAGTTATACATTTTATTTTCAGAGGTTATAAACCTCATCTTGAAGGGATGACTTTATTTATGGTTGATGTTTGAGTGTGGCAAGTATTCCATCCTCCACGAGGCATGAAAACTCCCACTTTGTTATCAAATATGCTGTTGGGCATGATGGCAAGTTGAATGGGTGATCATAATGATGAAAGAAAAAGAAAACTGTTCTTGTAAATAGAGAGAATTACAAATTCTTAGGAACTCCCTCACTCAAATAAGACTCACCCTAACTCCTCCCACACACCCCCACACCAGAACCCTGACACGCAGAGAGAGATTACTCACTCTTAAAGAATAAGATTAATCTACAATAGTAATCAATTAACCTTCCTTTGCCTTTAACTCTTCTAGTACATATAACATTCAAAACTAGCCGTTGTACAATAGTACCTGATGAGATAATCAATGCTGATAGCTTTTGTAGGCTTCATGGATATTTTGTCTTAATCCTAAAGTTTATAGAATTAGATTTTCCATTCATCTAGGGCATGGGAGAAAATATCCTTAAGTCTATCTCCTTCTATTTGCCACACACAGCCATGATCCTGTTTGTTTAGGTTTATTGTTGTCTCTGGATTAAAAAAAATTAATTGCTCTCTTTTAATTTATATTAAAATTGTAGATGAAACTTGTTAATCATGTACAAGTCATAAGGTTATTACCGGTTCGATCTTCAGATGATTTGATCGTAACGCAAAATTGGCTCAAATCTTTCCAATCTTAAGTCGAGCCAAGTTTGGCATAGACTGGCTCGATTCAATCTCACTTCAAGCCCCAACTTTGATTTGAATAAAATTCGATCCAATTTTGTTGGGATTTGAATTATCAAAAAAAAAAAAAAAAGTTCAACATACATGCATATACTTTGACTTCTATAGATTAATGTGCATATACATATGTGCAAGTAAATACAAAAAATGTGTATATGCATTCATGCATCCATGCATCCATGCATACATATTTTGATCTGATCTCTAGATAGCTTAATCCATTCTATATTCAGCTCAATACTAGTTCAAATTGGGCAGTGTTTGGCTTGTTAGTCGCTTCTCTGAATTCGAGCCAAGCCAAATTTACAGTCCTATTTACTATTAGTCCATCATTTGGTGCAACATGCAAAACATGAGAGTTTATCATCCTTTTATTATTAACGGTGCATGACTTTTTCATTTTATTTGATTGGAGAATCATTTTTTCATCATCTTTAGATGGCTTTGGAAAGGAAATTGGTTCATACAGGAGAAGAGCTGCAAAACATTGTCTCTTATTATGAGGTACGCAAAATTTTCTTTTGCATGAAGAGATGAGCATGCGATCCTCTTTATTAATGAAATTAACAACTTGTGCTTTCAGTGTTCGCCCCAAATATAAGGTTGGCATTCTTTCAAATGGAAAGGCAGCAAATGAGAAAAGTATATTTACAAGTGCTGATGATGCGTTGAAGGGCCTGGTTGAATGGCTATGTTCTCAGGTTAGTATTTGTACCCAAGGAATCCTAGGATGAATCAACTATGCATAGCAGAACTATAATGACAAAAAAACCTGAATTAAGAACGTGATCAGTTATATTACACTTGTTATTCTTCTTCATTTTAAGTGGTTTTAAGTTAGAGAAAACATGCATGTGGGATCTAATATTTAGATAAATTTAAGTTTTATTCATATACAATTTAATGATGACTTAATTTGATTAATATTTTGAATCATTCAAGCTTCTTGCTTGATGTATTGTCTATTATTCATTCTGTGCGCTGTATGGAAATTGTTGACACCAGTGCTTTTTGTATGCTGATGAATATCGATTGTAGTTGGCATGATCCTTATTTGTTTTGTTGAAATTTTGTTGCACTGGACATATGTTAAACTATCTGATGGTAATAGTCTTAACTTTTTTTTTTTAATTATTTGAAATCTTCTTTGGCGCACACTATTGAAAAATAGATTTGGCAAATATATATTGAAGTTATTAAAGATATGTATGATTAAACATTGACTTACATTAGAAGTAGTTTTAGAGTGAACATAGCATTCTCATTCACTATGAGATTACACGAAGGATTAATATTAAATTCTATCTTTTTGTATTGATTATGGTGGTTCTAAGAAAGGATGTCCAACCCTGCTCCTTGTGAATGCCAATTGAAATAATACGTCCTAAAATAGTTGCAAAGCTAGCACAATTTGCAAAATATGTAGATGATTATTGACTAAAAATCAGTAGAATAAATATTAGGTGTATGATATGCAATTTTAGTAGAAAACATTTAGGAAGAATCAATGATAGGCTTAAGTATCTTGGATTTATAATACAAAAGAGTGTGAATATTGCTTTTGTAGTTAAAGCTTCGTGGATGGAATGAAGAATTGGCTCAGAGCACTATTTATAAGAGAATATTATGTGAACATAAGGTAAATTTAATAAAATTATAGTTTTAGACCATTAATGTTATATGGATTTGAGTTTTGGCCTTTGGGTAATTAATAAGTCATACTAATAAAGTTGAATGGGACATAAAATTCACTGTTAACATTGAGTAAGACTCAATATTATTAAAAGATTAAATAATATCCAGATGTGATAAACTTATGTATATTAGATCTATTATATAAAAGAATGTAGATATTACTTATTTAGTTAAAGCTTCGTGGATAAATTGAAAAATTATAATCTCATGGGAACTTGCGGTAATTTGTATAATACTATATTGTTACACCATCAATGTTAGATTAGTTTAAGTTTTGGACAATAAATAACAAAGTTAAATGGGACATGTTAAGAGGGATGTGTGGCAAGATCTGGTTTCCTATAGGCGCAAGCCCCTATAGTTAATTACCCCTCCCGATAATGAGAGAGAACTTTCGATTAAGGCTAGTCGCCAATCAGATACGTAGAGAATACGTGTCATCTGGCATATAGTAGCAGCATGGGTTTGGAATTGGGAATTTGGGAATTTGGAGGATTGGGAGATATAGAGATTTGATATTTAAAATAGAAAATTGCACCATCTTGTACTTAAAGCAAATGGTGGGGGAATGGATGATGGACCCGATCAAGATCTCATGGTTCCGTCATCCCGGGCCATCATGGTCCCTAGTCTACTTAGTCAGAGGAAGTAGTTAACCCAACCTGACAAAAGGATCCTTGTCGGCAGCCATGGGTTGCTTCGTCTAAGGGGACCTTGTAGACCTGGGTTGGATGTTTGTCTAAGGGGACAAATTTAAATCCACCTTAGCTAACAGAGGGCTTTGTGCCTTATCGATCATATCCTATTGATTCATATCTCAAGAATTTGATGTCACTAAGGAGTGTATTGGCTCTGGCCATAACTGGTATTTCGTGGTGCCATTTGGCTGCAAAACCACTCGGTTCAGAGGGCCCCAGGTCATAACCGTTTATCCTGCGGTGCCATTTGGCGGCAAAACCGCCGGTTAGAGGACGCGTACCACGTCCTTACTGGCAGAAGATTGTTTGAGAATGGATCATAGTGATATTTTCGACTAGGCATTAGCTCTTTGTGAGCTGAAGTTATATTTGAATTTGTCCACCTCAGCAAACTGTTGCGGAGGGTGGATGGATTTTTCTTTGAATGATTGATGGATAATTTCAAATTTAAATATCTTAAATTTTGGGATTTTGAGTGGACTTCTGGGAAGCATTTGAAAATATTTGTGAACCCCTCTGGTTGAGATTAGCGTTCAACACGGCCATCATCGGGGTATGCATGGGGTCATTCCCTTTTGTTGATTGAACCATGTTGACTCGGCCGAACTGTTGATCGAGGATCGGGTTTTTTGTAGGCTTTGTGCCTTTGTTTATGAATTTTTTTTTTTGAAGGCCTTGAAGGCCTAATATGAATGCATAAAATAAATATTCTGGTCGATTTCGTGACCGTATATTTATCCGATGGTTCGAACCCTGTCTAGTCTTATTTACTTGCTCAGGAGGATCGGATTTTGCAGGCTTTATATGCCTTTGTTTGTGAATTCTCTTGATTATAGGCCTTGAAGGCCTAATATGAATGTATTAAAATAAATACACCGGTCGCCACAACCGTGTATTTGTTTGAAGGTTCGAACTGTCAACTCCCATTGATCCGTATATAAGGATCGGGTTCGAACAAGAAATCATTCATTGACCTGCGCAGCATCCCTAGACGTCACGTGTGTACCAATAACACGCTCTTCGGGGCCCATGCGGGTCGGGATTATATTTTCCCCTTTAGTGTACCTATGTGTATACAATTTATAGTGTACGTGCAGGGGTATTTTGAAATAATTGTAGTTGTGCAAATAACTACCATTTGGATGCACACAACTTTTTTTTTGAGAGCTAATACACGCCTTCTGTCCGCTAGTACGAATGTTGCAGATTCGGTGGTGGTTAGACGCCTTCTGTCTTCTTGTATAAATGTTGCAGATCCGGTGGCGTTATGGTCTTGATATTATGAGGCATCTCCTCATCTTGATGTTGACTCCCCCTTTCTCAACACTGGGGAGGGGGGGGGGGTTCTTCTGGACTTTGAAGTCAATGGCTGCTGGTTTGTAAATAACTCCTTTTGAGATTATCAGTATAGTGGACTTGTTATTTCTGGTGCTTGTGAAAATCAGAATTATTTTCTTCTTGAGTATAGGATCAGGAAGGAATTTTGGAACACCGGGAAGTTTAGTTCGAATTTGCTCAAACATCTCCTTCATTCGGGGGTGTCCTCTTTTTCGTATATCGAGTTGCCCTTGTACTCGAAATACTTGAAGATCTTGATCACCGTTGTCGTAGGTGATATCTGTACTTGTGCCCACAGTGGTTCGTTGCACGTACGATGTATCCACTGTTATTATCCACAAGTGATTTGTATTCATTTGCAGGGGCCTGTTGTATCCACTACGACCTTCTAGAAGTGTTTGTAGAAGAGCCATTGTCGCCTACATCATATCCACCTGTCACCAATCTCAGGTGGTCTGATGTCTTACATTTATTTGTAGGGACAGATTTTCTACCATCGACTGACAGTGTTGCCATCTCAATCTCGTAGGGATCGTCGTAGGAATTCATGCATCGAGGTCTGTAGTTTGAGTTTCCTCGTATATGATTCAGGCTCTGTTCTTTGGATATATTTGATTCCAAGTTCAGTTTTATTCAGGCTTGAGTTTCAAACTTAGTATGAGTCTTCCATATTCATTCAAGTCTTCTACTGCCATATTGGGTTGATCCGGATTTGAATCTAATGCTTGCAAATCCAAATTTCACTTGGCGTCGTATAGTTTAAGCTCAAATGCATAAGTTATTGTTGTCCACATCTTGATCTAGTTTTGAGTTCAGAGTACAAGTCCAAGTGTGTAAGTCCCCTGCTGTCCTTGCAAGTGCAATTGCATGTTCAAGTACAAGTCCTTTGTGGTCCCACTCAAATTCTTGTTTGAGTTCGACTGATTGAATCATGTTTCAAATTCAACTCAAGTCTAAGTCCAATTTCATTGTCACTTATTGCAAGTCTAAACTTATATCTGATTTCATTTATATTTGAGTTCATTCAAGTTTGATTTAGGCTCAATTTTGTGTTCAGTTTATTGTCCAAATCAGGTCTTTATTGGTTCAACAAGTTTAATTCCTCAAGTCCACTGTTCGTGTTCATTTGAGTGCATGTTCTTGTTCTTTTTTAGTTCAAACAGTTCCGGGTTCGAGTTCAAGTTCAGCTTGTTCAGATTCTGCCCAAGTCCCCTATTTTAGTGAAAATTTTGGCAGCCTCCCGGCGTCTCCCCTGTTTAGGGGAAAAACCAAGAGGCAACCTTCCCCTCGACGCTACGTGAGCGCTTCAGATAGGTGTCAAAAATGACACCGCGGTCGCATATTTTATTTAAAATGCCCGCCCTCTACGTGAGCGTTTAAGGGTTTGGAGCACAAGTTAGAAGGAGCACAAATTTCCCCCCTCTGCACTACGTGAGCGTTCGGGGGTACTTATATAAAAAAATAAAAAAAATTTTCCTCATCGCCGCAAGCGTCGCACTGGTTTCCCTCCCCACAATGCTACTTGAGCGCGTAGGGGGTTTGTCGGCTCGTTGCTAGCATTGAAGAGGGATTCTTAAGTCGCCGCAAGCGCCGTGCCGATTTCCCTCCCTGCAACGCTACGTGAGCACGTAGGGGGTTTGCTGGCCCGTTGCAAGCCACGAGAAAAGAATCTTAGGCGACTGTCCTCCTCGTCGTAGGCGTCGGACTAGCTTCCCTCCCCACAACTCTACGTGAGCACATAGGGGGTTTGCTAGTTCGTCGTGAACGTCGAGAACGGAAATCTGAGTTTAGGGATTATACCTTCGGGACCGGGGAACCGGCGGAGGTGGGTGCGGAAGAAAGCACATTTTTTTCTTAATTATAATTAATCATAATAATTAGTATATTTAATTATAACTAAGAATAGTTACTCAATTTCATCAAATAATAATCAATTCATAATTAAAACTAATTAATTATTATTAATTAAT